TTTCGTGCGCGCTGCTCTCAAGTGCAACCATAAGACTGCATGCATTTTCCCATAGTTTCCGCAAGCATTGCACAGAGCTTTCCACTTCACACAAGCATTGTCATTTGATTTCAGCGCTGCTTTTCTATTCAGGACGCGCCTCCTCCAGCGCCGAAGTATTTTCAGCAACATGGCTCATGAGATGCTGAGAAAGAGCTTGTCAAAAACCAGGGCCGCATGAACCCCTCCCTGAACCCTAAATAGTAGTTCCATTTTGTTTTCCATGATCCCTAAATAACCCCAATATACCCCGAAAAACCCTATAATCCCAAAGTAACGGAACCCATCCCAAGTCTTTTAATACAACTTCAGACAGAGAGCAAAGCAAAGTTGAATGCCGAAAAACAACAGTATGTTGGGGTTACATTGGGAGTATATAGGGATCATGGAAAATGAAATGGACTACTATTTAGGGTTTAGGGACAGAGAGTACTTGGCGGTAATCTCCACATCCTTGATCATGGAGACTCTAGCCTGACGATTGACTGCCTGCAGGCCCCAGGTGTTGGTCATGTAGGCTTAAGTCCTGTGCATATGTCTTCACAGGTGGGTAGACGGAGTGCTAGAAGCGAGCACTTGTCGTAGGCCACATTACGGCAGATACAAACGCAAACTCCTTCGCATGCCCAGGCTTGGTTTGGCCACCCAGGAGTTCGAAACTGGGCGCATCCGGAAGATGGCCGAGGAGGCCTCGTGAACTTTATTGCTGGTCACTGGCAGAAACAAGTTAAGACCCCAATGCACAGGCTGCTTACTTCCCGGTATGTTGGGAGACTGATGTGCTCAATGGTGGGGGCTCCAACGATACTGGCTTGTGGACAATTGCGCAGCTTGGCTGGCGGATGTTGGCACAGTTGGTGTAGGCGGCTTCGTTGAGTTCTGGGCAGCTTTCGTTTGTGTCCCAAAACGCGGTCTTACGCCCAGATTTGATTTTGAGGTTTTCTGCTTCTTTTGCGTTTTTTTTGTTTTGCTGTTGCACTTTGGTGTGTTTTCCCTCCCAACACCCAGCCTTCTGGGCTTCCTGGTAGCCGCTGGTAACCGCAAGCCTTTCATATGGCAGTATATGGTGATTTTTTCGCAGGAGTGGAGTTGCAGGGGAGGGGGCAGGAAACTGCTAGCGCCCGCCTCTCCCCCCAAACGTCCACCTGTCTCATCAGCATGAAGGAATAGTAATACTAACAATAGCGGTAGTACTTGTGGCTGCAAGAAGGAAAGCCAGGAAATGTATAACAAAAACAAGAAATGACAGCAAGCAGCAGAAATAGTATTGGTGATGGTAGCGATAGCTTTTGGAACGACAACAGCAACAACAGCATGAATAGCAATCAGGAGACAACTAACAACACCACTGACAGCATTAAAAGCAAGGACCTTGCTACTGATAAAATTTGTCGTAGGAGGAACAATTATAGTAGTAGAAGTAGTACTGGCAATAGTAGTAGTAGTAGTAGTAGCAGCAGCAGCAGTAGTTGTTGTAGTAGCAGTAGCAATGGCAGTTGTAGTAACAGTAGTAGCAATTGCAATAGTAATCGTAGTATACAGCAGATTATTCACTGCAACATCAATCGCAATCACAGCAATATAAATACGAGAAGTGATGTTTCTGATATATAGCAGTGATGGCCCTACTTGTTAACGTGCTGGCAGCGGTGATAACACCATGAGAATAGCATTGAAAGCGGTAATCATAGTACCAGTGGCGGTGGTAGTAGTAGTAGTAGTAGCAGTAGTAGTAGTAGTAGTAGTAGGAGGAGGAGGCGTCCCTCCCAAGGCACTACGTTTTTCTTTAATTAAAGCGTACGGACGATAGGTTGGGAATGGGGCAGGGTGGGGGGGGTAGTTCCGTGCAAACAAACCTCAATCGGTAGGAGATGTCGCTACTGGTGGGGCTTCGACGACCGCAATATGCGATTGCGCTGGGAGTGGCAGCCTNNTGCACCCATCAACAGTGTCATAACACTCCAAGATATAACCACGTAGCCCCTACAAAATGGCCGCTTTAACCCGCTGTTGCTAGGTCCGGGCAGCAACCACTAGCGCATGCGACTGGTACGCAGAGGTGATACTAAGCTGTCGCCGCTGGTGGACTTCTGATGACCGCAATAAGCGGCTGTGCTAGAAATGGAAACCGCGCACTGGCGCCATGATGAACTTGCCNNGCCGCGGCAAATCCGCGAGCAAGTTCAGTCTCACAGATTGCGTGTGGATGTAGCGCTGAGACGCGCAGCAGGGAGAGCACGGAGGTGAAAACTTACGCGCCCCAAACACCAATTTCGGCCGCGCGTAGGGCTACTGCCCGCATGTGGCAATAGTGGCATAAATTAGCATGTAGTACCCCTGCAAGATGGCCACTTTAACCCACTGCTATCAGGTCCGGGCAGCTATCACCACATTAACATGACTACTGTTGCTGGCTGCCTCCTCGGGGAATTTATAATTAATTTTAAGTAAAACGTAGTGCCTGGGGGGGGCGGCTGGTAGTAGTAGAAGTAGCAGTAGTAATTATAGTAGTAGTAGTAGTAGTAGCAGCACGAACAAAATCACAAGCAATGTAGCCACGATGGCACGAAGATCCATAATTACCGTTGCAACAAGACCCATCATGCAACAGGAACTGTAATGCCCAGAACAAAATGATTTCGAATAGGTTATCATCAGAACAACGGTTATCATCATGATGACCCTGATAGTAGCGATAAGCTGAAAGTTACAAGATTAATGAGAGCAAGGCAGTAGCAGCAACAGCAGACAACAATAGAGACAAGATGTGAAGGTACGAGAAGCAACAGCAACAACTTTATTCACAAAGGCACTACTGGTCATAAATGTGGTAATGTTACAGTAGCACTGGCAGCGAGAACAGGCCAACAAGGCAGAAAGCCAGGAGCAGAAAGCAAAAAGCTGAAGCATAGAGGCAGACAGAAGCAACAGCAGAGGGCAGAGGCACAGATTGGAAAGCAGAAAGCATCAGGAAAAAGCAGAAAACTGATTCACCAGCCAAAAGCACAAGGCCAGCAAAACACAACCAACAAAAACGACGAAATCCTAAGACAACACATCCTCGAGTAGTGTTGCCCAGTAAGCTCCCGCCCTCAAAAGCCAGAAGCCTGCTCCAGATGGACAAACCCAAGTAAGCCGCAAAACACAGCCCACTAGACGAAACGAAGGGAACAAAAGAACATGGTCCACGTCCAAAAATAGAAATGAAACAATTTTCTTTGCATGAGCCTGAATGTCGTTGTGCTCTGGGAGTGTCTCCGAAGGGCGTGTTTCAATGTGCTAGCGTTCTATGCGGAGCAAGAAGTTAAGGCAGAGCCGAATGCGGGCTGCAGCATTTCACCTGGACCGCGAAGACGCCACAACTTGCGCGGAGTCACTTGGCAGAACGGTTTGGGAAGAAGACCCAGGCTGAAACTGGTTCGCTTCAGGCTTAGGCAGGTCTGGTCAAAGAATCAAGTAGCAGGAACGTAGCACAGAACCCCGTTGTCCTATGTTCCGGCTTGAACAACTGTTGGCTAAACTATTATTTGTGGTCGCGCCATTTTCTCATATCGTTCCAGTATTACTGTTTTCGAAACCCAGGCGTTGTGCTGCAAGATGACCGTTTGCAGACCGCCAAATCTTTGCTTTCACACATGCCGAAAAAGGAAACATCAGTATAACTTGAGCAGCTTAAGGGTCAGAGTAGGAGGAGAGTGACGGAATTGGAAGGCCTTTGCCCACCCTGTGAGCGCCAGGCTGCGGGACTATTGCTATCTGCCGGAGGCTTCTGCTTGAAATTGGGCTTCATGAAATGCATGGGGAGCTGCTGGAAAGCGCGTCATATACAAATGTTGCTGATGAGTTGTGTTTCGCACCAAATTATGAACACATGCATGCAGCTTGAGAGAGCTCCCTGTTCAGTCGCGGCTGCTACGCCTAATGTGTGGTGACACGTGTGGTTGCACAGATCCGACGCTCGGCAAGCTCAGGTTGCTCGCAGACAGTTGTCTTGTGTCTAGCCTTTGCCCCGAACCTGTCCCAAGCATTGGTTCCCAGGATGTCAGTGCCGTGGTACAAGCAGAAAGCGGAAGGCTGCGCCGAGCTGCTAGCGCTGCAAGGAAACAGATTGGGGCAGCATGTTGGCTTTGATGCCAAGAGATCACTAAGCAAGCAGGACGATTCTGAGAAGAACTGGAGGAATGGCCCTAGCAATTATCTTGTCGCAATGGAGTCCGCGCCGCATGTAGCATTCCATGTAGCGTGTTGCAGTAGCGATCTCTGTTGCTTTCGGATTCAGCGAGAATTGTTCGTAGCCAGCTACGTCTTCCTTGGACAAGCAACATGAAAGTGCTGAGCGCGTCAAGCCTGACGGTGTATTTGGGAGGAAAGCAGTGTTGGAGAGAAGACTTCGGATGTCCCAAGGCTTTGGGCCAGAAAGGATCATTCCGGAATGAGACGAGCCAAGGATGTGCCTATCTGAGAGGCGGACGCGGTTGAGGGCGCTGCCATGCCAGGAGTTTGGGCAAAATCTCACGTCTAAAGCAAACATCGTTGTAGCCTTTGTAAAGGGTCTCCTTGCACCCTTGTTGTCAATCAAACGTACCTATGTCACCCTAGCCCAGGATTTCCCCCAAGCTGGTGCAGCAACGGCGTGGAACGAATTCTGGGACAACTACGCTGCAGCAATTACAGCGTACTTTGGAGAGGACATCCAAAGTGATGGTGTATTCTTGTGACTTGCCCTTGCTTCTGCTGCGAGAGTATGACAGTATGATGCTTCAGCTTTGCTGGCTCTGCATATGCTTCAACTCAAAATAACTCAAAACTGCATCTCCAAGCTGCAGGATCGCATTCAGTATGCAAACAGCTCCATCAGCTTGGCACAGACCATGAAAGCTGGCGGCTGCGCGGCGCTCCAAGCAAACCCGATCGATGCGATAACAGGCCGGTTGGTGGACATGATGTGGACTTTTGTTTTTTGGTGTGTAGGACTGCCGGTTTGCAAACACAATAGTTCCGCGACGCGGCTTCGACTCTCATCCGAAAGCCAGGAGAGTCGTATTGTTTCGGAGCGGCCGACCTCTTCGGCCCCCTTGCTTACCTGTGCCCAGCCACCTGGCAGCACCGTAGTTTTGAAGCCGCATCCTGAGCAGCATGCGTCTCATAGAAGTTGGTAAAACCCTGAGCCAATGTGTTTGAAGGAGTCCTGCGGCTGCCGCACCTACAGTGCTGAGAATCAGGCATGGTATTGCCCCCAGAGCTGCTCTCGGTAACCTCCAAAGGCCGAGCCGTCTCCCCATTTCGTTTCACGACACCTGGGCTTCCTGGTAGAGGTTCTTCTCTTTCAGCTTGCCACACAATCCTTATGACTTTCCTCTACCAGCCCAGCCCTCCATACCAGAGCAAAACCAAAGCAGGAAAAAGCATGTGTCACAATAGACGAGTCAGCCATTGCTCTCATTCAGCTACAGAAATTACATAGCTGGGATGTGTGATTCGGAGGTTACTCGGATATGAATTCAGAAGTTCCTCGGATATAAGAAGGATGCTGCAGACTTAGTGTTGGCTTGTTCACTGCTTCCACTATAGGGAACGGTCCTGCTGTACTTCTCGGCTGTGTGCCAGTCTAAGTCGAGTTACCTTTCAGTGGGGATGGTGCTTTCAATGGACGTCCGCGGCAGTATCATGACGGTTCTAAGCCAACTGGAGAAACTGGAGCTGACAGAATACATTCGCTGCAGCACACCGAAATCTGAAATGATTTCTGAAGTGCTTGCGTCACTCGTGGGCACATGTTTACTCAACTGTTTCATGACACCTTCGCATGCACCTCTCAGCAACCAATATTCAATCAATGCGCACAGCTTCAGAGTCTGAGATGCTTGCGGGGCTTGGCTCGAATTGCAGGACGAGGCAGCAGACATTACAAGGTCACCTTTGCCTTACAGATACCAGACGAGTCACAAAGCAACGCATTCCAAGGGTGATTTTAGGTATTGAGCTTCTTCAGTCCTAACGGCAACATGGCTGTGTCTCGGCATTGGCAGCGCGTTTGGACACTGCGTTTGGTTTAGGTTGAGGTGTGTCCTTCTGACATCTCAGGACTCTGCAGATGCAGGGGAAGCTGCCGAGGCTGCAGCCCAGGAAGGAGCAGATCTTCCTTCCGCAAAGGCTGTGGGGAGCTGGGATCCGCGTGGAGCTCAGTGCAAGAAGTCATGGCAGCGTGTTGTTTGCTTGACATGACATGCTTCAATCTGTGGCCCCCATCAGTTGCCACAGCTGAGTCTGCCTCAAGCAGGTCAAAAGTCATGGATGAGATCGACAGCCTGCGGGCACAGTACAAAGCGCAGGCGTGGAGTGTAGTGGGTGCGGGAAAAGATCCCGTTTTTTCAAGCCCTGCTCAGCCGTGCTGAGTGCGCAATGTTTGAATGCTCTATAGGACGGTGTATGCAGGGGTTTCATCTGGATCCATAGCCGGGCGGAAGAGACTGAATGAAGGCTCTGTCAGTCTTGCAGGGTTAAGGGAGGACCATTTCTTCAGTTTGGTTCAGACAGAAGATAGATTTTCTTGGCTGCGCATAGATTTCATGTCACTAAATTCAAAGGCCTTGAGTGCTGCAGTCCAGCTTTAGCATGTGGGAGGCTTCTTATTTTTATATTGAGAAAGGTGTTCTCTTTGGTCCTCTGCTCCAAGCCGAACCAGGCTCTTCAGTAGTCATTGCTTGACACAGAGGATATTGCAAGCACGCCAGGTCGACAGCAACAAAGTTTCGCCCCGGCTACAGCCTCTTGGCAGCGATTCTGCCATCCTTCGTCAGCTGGTAATAAAGCCCCAGAAATTGAAGGCTGCCTTAGTTCTGGTCCGCCAAGGCCGCATCGAGTTTCTGTCTGCTGGGTAGAACCGTTTCCATGAGTGGGCTTTGAAGCGAAGAACTGTCAGATGCATCCGCAACGATTGTCGCATGATTGGTCATGAGTTCTCTTTTCTGAGTTATTTCAGGAGCCTCGCTGGATTTCTCCATAGGAGATCTTAGGAGCTTGTATCCTTTGAGCCCAGGTTCATGTATGGTTTCGCCTTGGCTTGCTCGTCGAGGCAGGCCCGGGCTCAATGTTCCTCATGTAGGTGTCGAAGGCTGCACTGCCACATTGCCGAATCCACTTCCGAAATCTGTTAGCGGTGTCATTTGCGAGATCCCAAAGATAAATATGCTTGCGTCGCATCTTTCGCACACTCGGTTTTCAGCAATCTCTGGCCAAAGCATCGCTTCCCAGCTGTCGGCCCAAGAGCTGCGGGCATACACTAGTATGCAAGAGCTTTGCCTTTCGTACAAGCTGGGTGCTTGCGTGCTGGCCTGGGCCTTCACGGACCGCTGGCACCTCGTTACAGACGACGGGGTGCCGGCGTTGGAGGGGCGCTCAAAGCATGTATCCGCATGGGGCAACCGCACGTTTTGGATCCATGGCGGCTTTGATGGCTCGATTTATCGTGCGGACATGTGGAGGTTTGATCCCCAGGACAGCACTTGGCTTCCAGTGGCAGTAAACCCAGCACTCCCAGCACCGCGCGGCCGTGAGTCCCATGTGGCATGTTGGGATCCAAGCTCTGGAGCCCTTTGGATCCATGGGGGATACGATGGCAGCCTTCTTGGCGACTTGTGGAAGTTCGCGGAGAGCTGGACCTTGATCCACGACGGGAGTGGCAGCGCGCCATCCCCGCGAAAAAGCCACGCAGCGGCCTGGGCCGGTGACAGCGCACTTCTTGTCTTTGGAGGGAACGCTGACAGTGGGCGGAGCAACGGGCTTTGGAAGTTTCAGGCCATGTCCTGGAGGTTGATGTCCAGCAGTGGCCCCCAACCGCGTGCTGAAAGCGTAGCAGCTTGGGATGCAGTGGACAACAGCTTCTGGGGCAGGCATGGCCGACGCTACCAGGACCTTTGGAAATTTGCGCAGGATGGCAGCTGGACCTTGATCAGCGACAGGCTGGGTCCGAGACGTGACCTTGCCGCCGCCTGGGACACGAACAGTCGGGCACTTTGGATCACGAGTGGTGGCACTGGCAACATGCTAGCGATCCTCGTCCAAATATTCTCACTCAAGCACAGGCTGCCTAGGTGTCATGCAGCATGAGCATGATTGCGCGGCTACACTTGGCTCCTGCGAGAGCTTGTTCTGATTATGATTGTTTGTATGTGATCGTAGGGGGTCTGTGTGTACTAGTAGGGAGCAGGACCTGCATCCTACTTCAGGCAACTGTTACTCAGCACAGGGATGGAAACTTGCGGCATTGCTGGATGATAGTCATGGCAGCACATGAGCTGCAGTGAGTATTTCCCCATATATTACATATTATAATGGACATGGTCTCCTTATTAGGAACTGTATGAAGGACTAAACTAGACTACAAGAGGGACCCTTATGTCCCCTGTTAGGGGTCCCTTAAGAAGCCTAATATTGACAGTAGCTGGCATACCATGAACAGAAACAGCCTGGCACCAGCCCAGCCAGAGCACAGTAGCATGAGTCGAGGGTGCATGTTGAATGGCTGTGTGAACAACACGGATTGGTGTCTGGTGTGTGTCAGCTCACCGCTTACTTTGGAATTGCTGAGATGAGCCTAGCAGCGTTGCACGGTTAGTCTGGCATGAGAACGTCAGAATACGCATAGGACTTGCATTCGTCTGAGAGCCGAAGCTTCAGGGTTCAGTGCAGGGGGAGAGGGTGGGGGAAAGGGACAAGAATGAGGAAGAAGACGTGTCGGAATCAGTCTGTTGAACCCACCTCTCGGGACCCGGGCCAAGCGGAGCACGTTTGCAGCACGTCTGTCCACGAGAGGGGAGTGGGTAGCATCTTCACCCCAAACATCCGCAGCCTGGGGCATTGGCGATTTCGACAGTAGCTTCAGATTTCCAGCTAACATGCTAAGGACCTGGAGATATCTTGTGCCGGACAAGCGCTGGACACGGATCATAGACAGCGGAGCACCTAAAGGACGAAGCGGTCACGCGGTTTCCTGGGACCCTGACACACCTGGCGCCGATGGCATGGGAGCTCTTTGGATACATGGTGGCAGCTCCGGTGGCGGGTGGATGCAAGACCTCTGGGCCTTTGGAATGGGCACGCTGCAACTCAATGGCACCATGACCAGCACGAGCATATCACGCACGACTTGGACAACACCGACAAATGTAACGGTGACCACGACCACAACCACTATGACGACAACGACATCGATAACAACAGAAACCACAAGGACTAGCACAAACACAACATCAGCAATGGCCCCAGAAACAGCAGATACAACGCTGACCAGCACCAGCACGCGTAGCTCTGTCACAAGCACAATCACCACTATCACGAGGACGTCAACCTGGAGCAAATTCTCCAGTAGCACCAGCACAACCACACTTAGAGGTTCCTTGTTGCTACCTGAGAGTGTCTCCAACTTACAGGGCAATGTGATGACAGCCGCCATGCAGAGCGCCTTCTCTGCCCTGATATTGGGAAAGAACACTGTCAATCTGAAGACGCCGCTTGGTAATGTCACAGTTGTACAGTTGAGCAGCCAGACTTACGGGGGCGATGTGGTCATTGAACTTGGAGACAATGAGACAGAATCTTTTCTGGTGACCCAAGCAATTGATGTTGCTTGTTTTTTTTTTCTGGTGTTGCCTTTTCGTATCGTGGTTGTGACAGACATCCACAGGCTTCTCAGACAAAACAGAAACGTGGTAAGCATGGTCACTTGCTAATTAAAATCAAGCAGAATGTGGCAGTGCAGAATCTAAACACAGTTGTTCCATTCGATGGAAATCTTCCCTAGGATCTCTTGTACTTGTGAAGCTAGTGGCCCCGTAACCCATGAATCCCCAATAGAGAGTTGTGGTGCTGACCGTGTCTCGCCAGCGGCCTTGCGCGCGAAGTCCAATTCAGTCAGGGAGTTTAGGACAGGAAGAGGAAGCCTAGGACGGGCACCAGGAAGCAGCACGCAGGAGTTTTTGAGTTGTAGAGGGTACGCGTAATCTTCGGGGAAGGCATAGCCGGCTAGTGCTTCAGCCCAGTGAGGACAGCTTTGCCACTGTGCTCCCAAACGAGCTGGTTCAGAGCCTTGGGGCAGAGGGCAATGTCATGCTGACGTTGATGCAACTTAACGAAGAGGCGGCCAGTGCTACTGAGTCATGCTTCAGAAGCCTCTGGAGTTGTTGATCTATCACACAAAGGCTTCAGAAGATATACGATTGAAAACAACACTCCAACTTCGATCCAGGCCATGCGCAGTCAGCATAGCCAGTCAGTGCTGCTGAGCTCTCACATCCTTGAGCTCTCGCTTATACAGGAGCGTGCAGGCGAGTTGGCCATGGCTGCTGTCTCTAATCTCTCACAACCCATCCTGCTCAAATTTCAGGCAGGTGTTGTTCAAACTGGCCAGTCCCCATAAAGGGAATGACCCTTGGGTGTGGATAGTCCCGGGAATAGGGCATTATTGAGCGTCAGGATTCTCCGCCTATTGATGGAGACACCTGCGTCTACTTCGACTTCGTGGAGCAGGCCCAGGGTTGCTTTTCATTCACAAGTAGCTTTTCAACAAGGTTCTAGGGAATCAGGGCTCACCTTCTTTTGCGAAGAGATCTGAGCAGGCCTGGTCAACAGAAGGCGTGGCTTTGGTCCATGGGGACACTGCCTCCGGCGCAAGAGGGACTTGGTGCCAGGCAAGGCACTTGTCCGTCTTTGCGGTGGTGCAGCAGGTTCCCTTCGACAAAATGGATGCTGTGTCTCACCCATGGGTGGCACGACAAACATCGTGGATGCCTGCGGACAGCTCCATTTGGTCACCTTCTCCCGCCGAGAGATTGGTTCGTCAGCTAGCTTGGACGAAGAGTGTGGGGTGCAGAAGAAGGTGCGGGTGAGATGGCATGTGGAACCAGATCGATTCCTCCAGCGCCTGGATCAGTTGAAACTTGTCTGCGTTCCTGAGCCTCCCTCCCCAGCCCCCCAAAAGTAATTTCTCCTGGTGAGGGACGGCGTGGGACATTCAAGATGTTACCCAGGCCGAGACAGTTCCCATGCCGCAATTGCGTCAGACCGCCAGTAGCCACAGTCTCCAGATTTCGGAGCACAAGTGGCATGCCAGTGAAGTAGGTCATGAAACGCAGCTGTGGCACGAGAAGGACGACCTGGAACAGGGTAAGAATGAGGCGGAGGCTGTTAAAGCAAAGGTGCAACATGACTGGCACGAGGAGGATGAAGAGGGCAGCAATGCCAACAGAGCGAAAGACGGCAAGACAGAAGATGACGGGGAAACCGAAGACGGCCCGGAGCTCAACAACGGAGGGCCCGTTCGCTGGCAGCATTCGCTGGCATGGCAAGAGGTCTACAAGGATCGGGCTCCTGTGATCTACTGGTCCTCAACACACCAGATGATGATGCAGGCCAGTATCTTTGGGCGTGGCCGGTTTCGGTCCAACGAGCTGATGCCTTGTTACTCAGTGGAGGTGGGCTGGCGCCGGCAGCTGCGAAAGAGGGTGCCCCTTGGCGATCTACATCCCGCTCTGCAAGATGGGGATGCAGTAGTTTTCCTGGATCCCAAATCATCCATTTGGAAGCCTGGCATTATTACAAAGGTGTTGCACTCCTACGGCATCTTCGACGTTCAGATCTCTGGCGACTCGGGTGAGGCGGAGGTGCATCAAGACATCAGCCTTGACCGGATTCGCAAGAGATATTGCAAGGACTTACCTGTCCAAGTGTACCAAGGGCGACATGTCGGCTGGCTGCCGGGCAGTGTGTACGACGAGCCCAAGCAGGGCGGGAACTGTGGGATACCACCTTCAGAGTCCATGTTTCAGGAAGTTCAGGTGTTGCTAGATGGAGCAGAGGAGCCGGTGTCTATTGCATCCTACCTGATTCAGATGATGGAATTTGTGGAGATGCATCTTTGATGGGCGTCAGTCCCTGGCCCATTCTCGAGATTCGTATCGGCTTCAAAATACCTGAGACTTGCACGCAACAAGTCATCCACCGCGGATCACTTTGCGTTCGTTTTTGTTTGGCTCTGGCTGTTGTGGTGACAAAGCCCTCGCCTAATGGCGAAACAGCTTGGAGAGCGCTTGTCAAATGCTATGCTGGATATTTCTTAGTTTCTGGGCCGCGCGCATTGCTTGAGCGGCATCATTTCCAGAACACGAACTTGTGTAGAAGCGGACAAATTTGTCACCTTTTCTGAGAGATACCCAGTATATTCCATAAGCCAACCCTTTGATATTCCAGCTTCTGGAAAGTGGCATGTACGCAAGTCACGAAAAGGCTGGACTTTTGGCTCATGGCCCTTTTCAGGTTCAACTTCGCCTCAGGAGCTGGTGATGCAAATGATATCTTCCCAACATTGAAAGAGCTAAATTCGTTTAGGTCTAAATCAAAAAGAATTCTAGATGCAGAAGCGCCATGAGAGAAACCATCACATGTTCAAAAGCGCCCTCTTTATGGTGTTCGGAGAACTTCAATTTGCTGTGTCCTGGGCTCTGACTGGACTACGCCCGCAGGAAAATTGCAAAATTCAGTCAAAACTCCTTGGAGCTTCTGGAAGTAGTTGGATTAGGCTTTAAAGTACCAGGATTTGTGTAGTCCCCAGTACCCGGGCTCATGCGGACACATATACTACCTTATATTCGGAAAGCTTTGTTGATATGAGGAGTGTTGACTGTGCACATCATTTTTGGCCACAGGAAGTCGCTCCTAATTCATGTCTTAAAACTTTGCAGGGGCAATTGTGACCTCGTGCAAAAAAGTTTGGACCAGCTCGTGCCAAACGAGAACCAAAAGAAATTAGAAACGCTGCGTGGTGTTGACTCTTGAGCCGTTTATGTACAGGTGCGCCTACATCCAAGTACCCACAAGCTTCAAAGGCCCCTCTTCTCTGAATTTCGGCTCACCGAAGGTATGCGGACGTCGACGAAGGCATCTTCCTGCTGAGCGAACTGATGGACGCTGCCTGTTCTGAGAGAAGTGGTATGTTCGCATGCAAGCTTCACACTGTAATCATGTTCTTATCATCATCCATGTATCCAGATCTTCGCCAACACACATTTTCAAATCTATGCAGTTTCTTATCGTATTCCACACTAGTGGCACATGGCACAGCATGTTTTCACGTCCCTAAAGTTGCTGGAGAAGTCTACCTAAACTCAACCCTACCGCCCTAAGCCTCGCCCTAAACCCCAAATTCTGCTTCTAAGGTCGGCTTCCGGCGGCCTGAATGCCTACGCTCACTAGCGGTGTCCTACATGAAGATGGGTAACTATGTGAAAGCCAAGGAGCGCAGATGAGCTCAGTAGTGGAACTTTTCTTGGGTTAAGAAGGCTCTAGAGTGTAGGATGACAGAGTTTTATCATGTTTTGTAGGGATATGCGAGGGATTGTATTGGGGTGTCTCAAGATCACGGGTTTTCGTTCTCAGTGCTAGGTAAAGTTGAGGGTATAAGGTGGGTCCACCACTTCGACAGAAGCCATGTGGATACGACTTCTAAGGTCAACAATCACATTGAGACAGCTGTGTGTTTCTGAGCATCTACAATTTTGGAGGCATACCCGAGGGATCCCTGAGCTTTCGAAGACGGTTCTTGCAACGTTCGTTTTTGCCATGTTACAGTGGGTTCTCACGATTCACAAATGAACCTTTGTAATCAGTCTCCTGAAATTCTCCTGCTGATTTATGCCTCCGCAAAACAGCCCAGCATCCGTGGCATCGTAGAATAGACTGTCAGATGCAGGCTTGGCGGACTGCTTTTAGTGAAGCCAATATCTGCATTGATTGGGTCAACGTCAGGATTGCATCAAATTTCCGTTTGACTGTGTCCAGAAAGCGTTACCACAGGAGAGTGACTAGACCCCGTGCACAATCCAGGCTTGGCCTGCAAGCAGCCCTTACAGCCACAAAGACAGTAGGAGGGCTTGTTGCGCATAAGTTCGGGGCTATGGCTCGAGGACGTGTAGGACAGCAGCTTGAAGCCGTTGGAGGAGATGATCGACATTTGGCTCCACCTTGAACCCCAGAGTGGTCAGAAGCTTGGGCTCGGCCTTACATTTGATGATACAATGACAGAAGGGTAGCTTGCGACAGGAAGTCTTGGCACTTCTTTTGCATCCGTCCTGTAGCGTCTCCTCATGATACCAATTTTTCCAGACTTCGCTCGTCATCGTGCATGATGAGGTGACGCCAAGCTCATGCACTCCCTCGCACCAGCCTAAATTTTGTCATCAGCCGTGGAAAGCAACATCTGCAGGTAAGTGGGGAGCAAGTTGCTACTTTTGTTTACTCGCTTACCTGCACTACGTTCCGAGCGCAATCGGTTCACTTGCCCCTACACCTCCGCAGAGCCGAGCCGGGCCACACCACGCCAAGCAAAGGTGCTTGAGAGAGCCTCGCATGATGGATGGCTTGGTATGCTTGGCCTGAGCATTGCAGCTACAGGCGCTGCAGGGCGTAGTCTGGCGAAGTTTCGATACAGTACTTCGGGATTTTCTAAAAAGCACTGTCATGGTTCATGTGAAAGGGTTCAGGTCAGCAACTAGAGAAAGTGTCACTGTTTGAGTATCGTTTTCGTTGAGAATCCAGGGTGAACGCCGTTTTCTAGATGCTTGCAAGGGCTGGGGGAATTGCAGGCAGTTGAATCAGTGCTTCTCTTCTGCAACATCTTCTTGATGATGGTGCCCAGGTGTGAACCGGAATTATACTTCTACTTCCGAGCTCCATTGCAAACGCAGTGACTACTTGTGCAGATAGGGACGGTTTGTGGGAAACAGGTGAGCCCACAGTTGCCCTTCAAACTGTGCCGCTTGGCCACACTGCCACCACCACCTGTACCTGCTAAGTACCTGCTGTCTACGTCCTACTGACCAGCTGAAAGCTAGCAGCTGCTTGCTATCAAATAACTTGATTGCTTCTTGATGCTTCTTCTTGTTGCCACTCGTGGTTCGGTCCTCATCATAGTCGTCATCATCATGATCATGACCCTCATCATCATCCTCGGCGTGTGGCCTGTGCTTTCAATTTTCTTGTTTGTTGAAGCGTCGTTTATTCAGGTGTTCTGCACTATCATGCAATGCCTTGCTTGCCTCCCAGACACGATTGGGGTTGCATTCAAATGTCAGGAACGTTTTTTGAATCGGCTTTTGTGAATGCGTCTTCGCTTCCTTGGGAATACATTTGGTCAGTGTATGAGCGGGTTTCTATGCAATTTTATCTAAAGACACATTAACTGGGAGGCAGAAGCCACGAACGCGAAAGAAATCAGGCGTCGCGTAACCCGATACGAAAAAAGCCACAGCTTGCCCGAAGTCATGCCATCGGGGCAAGAGCTTTTAGAATCAACAACTCTCAGCCCTTCATGCTTTGTAAGGATGCAACGTGGACACTGATAGCTACAAACCCTGCTAAGCTCTGCATGCTGTGCTGTATGCGCCGACACAACATCTACTCTTCCAAGCAGCAGCAGGGCAGCAAAACTAAGTTCTACCTGCCTGTGTTTGCACAAAAGAGAGGAGGAAAGAGGTTTGCTTGCCGGTCCCTGCGCAAAAGAGCGAAACAAATACAAGGATGGCGGAAGGCACAATTTTCTGCAGGCTGTCTCCTCGTGTGGCTGCGGAGGCAAAAGTGACACTGGTGATCTGGGAGTCTCCTTAAATCATGGTCCGTTCTTGGATTGGCATCCTGAGATTCTCCTATCTTCAAAGCGGAGAAGGGGCCATGAAGCAGTTTCAAGGTGCTGGTCTGAGCCTATTCACACAGGACATGGCTCTTTCCCCATGACATGAGAAATCAATCCGGCGGCTCGAAACGCATACCTTACTTGCCTTCATGAAGTTTCAAGGTCAAGGGAGCATTATATACGGGCCAGGTTGACAGGAGAGTCTCGAGCACCCTTTACAATTGAGCAAAGAGCCCGTCAACGGTCATGCCCCAAGATCTTTGTTTACTTCATGCCAAGTGCGGTAGGGTGTCGGCACAAGAACTGCTGGTTCAGTCTGTAACTTACGCAGCTCTGTACAGATATTTACGATTTGAGCTGTTCATGAGTTCCCAGAATTGCTATCTGGCTGACATAGGTCACACATATACATGCACAGGTGAATGGAAAGATAGATGTGGGATCTCAGTTTGGCCAGACATGTTCCGACTCTCTCACCGCTCGCAAAGACAAAGATGTCAAAGGGCTATGCTTTTTGATGGGAATTCTGGTGGTTGGAATTTTTTGGCCCCTCGCAGTCAACTTGGGCCATAGAGGGTTGCTCATAAAACTGTGATCTATTGAACCATACTTGACATCCCGTATATGAATGCTTCCTAAATTGTCTGGGTATGGAACACGGTGCACACAAACATCCGCTCCATACCCTCCGATTCATAGGAGCTCATTCCTTCATTCACGCGCGTCTGAAAGTCCGCGGCCAATGGCCTTAGCCCGCTAGCATGCAAATTAATTCGTCAGCTACTGCTGATCGTCTCCTGCTAGGAGGGTTTGGCCAGCAACTGTTCAACCATCCCTGTGCCTAAACAACTCAACATTATGCACAAAACCAACTACCTCAGCCCGGTGGCGAGGTAGCGGCTTACAGGGAGGACAACTGTACAACTCCCTCCTCAATCCAGAGACGAGGAAAGCTGTGCAAAACTGGCACACCCTTGCTTAAGAAAAACTCTAAACCTCAACCAGTGAGAGGGTTGCGTAAGGCTCACTACCCTCAGTCTAGAGACGAGGAAGGCAAGCTGCTTGATCACTACTACTGCAGCCCATAGGCGAGGACGTTTAAGTACGCAAATTTTTTGCCAGCCTGCAACACTGAGCCTGAAGGAGCGGCCAACATATTTAGACAAACCAAGCACGGGAATCACGCTTGCCCTTGAGCTTGCAAGCCTTCAGGAAACAACAAGCAGCAGCTTGTTCGCGGACATACCCGGACATCAGCCCCCCAACCTCAGACAGGCCATCACGAATTCACCGATGCAGGCCATTCCCTGGAAGCCCACAAGCAAGGTGCAGGGCACGACACCTTGCATTCCCTACAGCAAACCCAAGCAACCTTAAGAACTGAGGCCAAGTCCCTCACCCATCAAGCTTTCAGTAAGGGACAGCTGCCACAGGCACTTCATGCTGCAGTGCCAGGTTCCCATTAGAACCTTTGACAGCACTTGCAAAACTATAATCTCAACTCTTCAAAGAGCAGAGCTGGCGAGAGAAGGGCAAGGTTACCAACTCACACAGGTTGGCGAACGGCAGCAAAAACGGACACTTAGACACTGCTCCTTGAGGGAGGACCCCAGTGGAAAGGGTACCCTCAATCCGGGCCCACCCCTGATCGACGTGCAGAAAGCGGATCACTCGAAAGAGGCTTGGCAGTACGCTGGGCCCCTGATGAGGTTTTTTAAAACAAGGAAAAACCAAACTGGCCCCAGAGGCCTCTCAGCAAGTTTGCCGCGAGAAACTGCGGCCGAAGCGGTGTCCGCCCTTCCTAAACCTTTAAGGGCGCATCCTAAACCCCAAGGCAGGATAGGCAAACCTGCCTGCCTACGGCTGGTTGGGTGCCGCCAGCTGACGAAACTGGCATATGCGAAACTAATTCAGGGCAACAAGGCTCTACTTAAACCCAGGAAAGCAGCCTGCCCAAAAAACTCCTCCCCTGTATTACAGTAGGAGGTGGGTGACTGCGTCAAGCCTATCTACCAGGTAAAAGGTCCAAGTGCAACAGCAAGCATGCTGCTAGCACCTGCTAAAAACCTTGCCAAAGGAAGCACCAGGCAAGGCCACCTCAAGCCCTTAGGCGAGGTTGCTTTACCTGTCAAAGGCTTTCTTTTGCCTCATCCCTCAGAGGCTAAAATATATATGTAACTTGCCAGCACCAAACAGCAACGCCACAAGGAAAGAAAAACAGCTTGCTCAACCCAACACAAGATATTATTGCCTGACCCTTGCGGAGGCTTCGTTTTAGAG